GGGCAAAAGAAAAGTTGGAGTAAGTTAGACACGAAACGATACAAAAACTTGTCCACCCTCGGGGAAAAGATTGTTCCGATAGGAAAGTTCATCCGAGCGTTTCTGAAAGAAACGAGAAATAGTCTTCTAGCACACGAATTTATCGCGTTGCAACACGAACTAACGAACTTTACTTGCTATCGACAAAAGGTTAGAGAAAATTCAATGATACGAGTGTTTTTATCAAAGGAACAAACATTAAAACAAACCACAAAATAAATAAATATATAAATAATACAAAAATTACTGTACACATTATTATCTTATTTTCACGAAATTATAATAATAATATTCGTTAATTTTTTCGAAAAATTATTCGTAAAAAAAAAAACGGATTTTATTCGAGGAAGAATTAAATAAGAATGTACCACCTATATTAGATTTCAAAATTTTTTCTAATTCTTTTTTCTTTCAAAGTAGATTGATTAAGTACGAACGATAATCGTTATCCATCGATACAATCGGAAAAGAATTTGTCGCGAAAAGTTCTTTAACGAGTTCAATCGAAGTTTTAATCGATAAACCGTATCACGATATACACTATCGGTTTGTACCCGTGAGAAATTAGTAGAATTAACCTGTATAGAGATAGTAGTAGTAGTAGTAACAGCAGCATGTGTGTATAGATCCACGTTCGATATTCTATACGATCCACCGGGATTGTTCTCGATCGTCTTGAAAATAGTTCTGGGATAAACGTGAAAATGAGGGTATCCTCAATTCGAGCCAATCTGCGACTTTTCGATTACTTCAGATCTACTTTTCTTCTTTTTTTTTCTGATTCTAAAACTTGTTGTCCTAATGTCTTGGGACATTTTCCGTTCTCTAATAAAATCATCCACTATTTTATTCATAGAAAAAAGTAAAAGCATACCATGTTCCATGATATTATATTGCAACGAAAAGTATCAATTATTTCAACCAAATTTTTGTCAAAATGAAATTGTTATGAATCATAAAAGGGTTAATCTTATCGGAAACAATTGTATAAAATAAAACCGTTTATTGATGTTCGAGAATACGAACCAATGGTAGTAAAAGTGAAAAAGGCGAAAGAATGCAATAAGATAAAAGCTTCCAGAAAAGTGAATGGACTTTTCTTTAGAAACCACACACATATATATATACGTATTAGTTTCAAGGGTACAGTATGATACAGTAAGGATCGTTAGACAAGCTGTAACGTTCGTTTTCTTCTTCTTTTTTTTTTTTCTTTTTTAAGAGTCGTTTGTACTCTCCGTTCTTTCAAGTTGTTAAATGTTGCTAATGATTAAGTGAAAGCATTGCACGTTGGACAGAAGGTATTCGAAAGCATTGCAACGAAAGAAGTCGTCTGTGTTGATGGTGAAGAAAGGAAAAGAAATGGGACGCTTAACGCGTTAGTATGAAAAAAAAGAAAAAAAGAAAATAAAATAAAAGGGAATAAATGAAATAAAGTCTATTTGAGCTTTCGAGACTAGAAAAGATCTGATCCTCTACTCGTATGTGTACTCTTACGTACGTACGGTAAATGTACGGATTAATGGATTAGTTAACTGCAACATGAAACGAATGGTAAAGGAACATTGAAAAAGAGAAATAGGTAGATCAAAAGAAAGAGAGAGGAAGAACGAAAAAAGAAAACTGCAAAAGATGGATTTATGGTTGTGAACGTAGAAAAAATTCGATATCGAAGTTAATTTATCTAACCTTTTGTAAGGATGTGTACGACGTATCGTCAATTAATCGTAACATTTCATTAAAAATTCTTTTATCGTTCTAACACATTTCTTTTTTTCAAAATATATTATATCTATATTATCCAACGAAAGAAATATAATATTTTATTCTTTATTAAAAATATTTTTAATTAAAGTAACACGAACCTACGAAAGTTTATGTAACAATACTTTTAATGATACCAGGTAGTTTTTATGTAAATTTTATATTATCGTTGTGAGATAATACAAGAAATATTCTTTTATATTTTCAATATTGTTTATCGAATGAACGAACGTACGAATGAATTATACAATGATGAAATAATATACTTTTAACATTTATATGTACATTTTTCAAAAATACACACAGTAATAATTACTGTCAACCAAGAGAGAGAGAGAGAGAGAGAGAGATAGACAATTATTTGAATATGGAGTGTAAAAAAATGAAAAAAAAAAGAAGAGATAGAGACAAAATTAAATGTGTTTATCTCTGTAAATGTTATTAATCATTTAAATGCGATCGTAATTCACTTTATTTATTATCCTCCAGGCATTTATTAACAAGAAAATTTGTATTTGACCGATATAATACGCGTATATATAGTCTCCGTATAAAAAGGCAGCGCGCGCCTTCAGGGAGAATAATTGAAAATGCAATACGTTGCATCCACACGTATATCGAGAAGTCTAGTATATGTGGGTGGTAAAAAATAAAGAAAAAAAAGAGGGAAAAAAGAATGAGATAGAAAGAGTAGAAGCAGCAGCACCAGTACCAGAACCAGGACCAGCAGTTTCATGTCATATCGCAGGGACGTCGCGTCGCGGAAATAACTGTATGTATTTTTGGCTTGTTAAACTAAATGCAAAATCCCCTTCGTTGCGGACGTGCATGGTCAGAGAAAACTACTAACACAATACTACCACCACACCGGTCTCTTTTATTAAACAGAACACGAGTGAGTTTTCCAAACTCGATGTTAGTAATAATTTAAGGCCCCCATCTCTCATCCCATACTCGTTTTTCCTTTCCCTGATTCTTTCTATTTTCTATTGTATTTTGTTTTACCATAGACTTTGTATTATTATATTAGTTTATAATATCTATTTGGTTTGAGCTCTTAACTTTGTTATATAATACGAACACGGACATTAAGTATTCGAGAAATATTTCTAACAAATAACTTATCTTATCAAACGTTAGTAGGAATAATTATTAAATCGTTTTATTAGACATTTAAATATTTCTGGTAGAAATGTCTCGTGTATAATTAAATATAACTTAACCATTTTATTCCAAATTACTGAATTTGTATTGAAGTAAAAAAAAAAAAAAGACTTTAGAGTCACTGAGAAACAGAATATTTGTAAAAAAAAAATGAAAAAGTAAATAACTGTAGAGTAATCTCGAGATAAATATATTTACCAATGAAAATTCGCGAGTAATAGTAGTAGTAGTATCAAGGAATGAGTATTTTTCTTCAAGTTATCCTTTCACGAAAAAACTCAAGAAAATCGGCCTTTTATTTTTAATTACAACCTGAAAATCCTCGTCATTCTGGCAGTTAGTTTTTCGAGTGTTTGTAATTTAAAATATTCTTATATTTAAAAAAAAAAAAAATAAAATAAAATAAAACAGAAGCGAGGATGGCGAGAATATTTGACAAATACCTTGAAAAACATATTATGCCTGAGGTGGTAGTACCAGAGAAAAATGAAAGAAGTAATCGGTTTGAGAGATGACGACAACATATAGAGCCTTGTTCTATCATCATCCAAGTCTTTTCGCATAGCTTTCCATCAAGGGAGCTTCACTTCCATTCATCAGCGCCCTTCTTCATGCTAATCCTCAAAGTTTACTCTATCGTGGTTCGTCGAAACTGCAACGCCTAAGGCTCTGGGTCAAACGTTTGGTGGAACCTTTCTTTTGCCTTCTCCTGTCTTTTACAAGTAGAAAAAACTATCAAAGCCATCGTCACGAACTAGTTAATCGTTCCTACTCTTGTAAACTACCGCGAGCTATATGCGCATGCATTTCGAAAGACACCCTCTTTTGTTTTTTTATTTTTCTTTCTATAAAAGAAAACTACTATCTTTGATCCTTCGTAATCGACGGTAGATTCGTGTGAAACTTAAAAAAGAGTACAATCCTAGATTGGATGACCCCTTTCACTTGTGCCGTTTCTTTTATAAAACTTTTTTCTTTTCTTTTTTTTTTTTTTTTTTTTTCTTTATTTCTATCTTTCACTTATAAACGTTTCCGACGACAAGAAGTAAATCTTTATTTTAAGATACATTAGTAGTTTCTCTAGGAAAGTATGTCAACCCTTTCTTTTCGGTGGATACCTACAAATAACTAGCTTATTTTTAACATTATATAAAATATTAGAGAGAAAGAAAGAAAAAAAGTAGGATTATACGATACAATTGGAGTCCTTGACATCGTCGTATAAATTTCAGAACATCGATCTGCTACAGTCCGTAAACGAATTTGTTTTACCACTCGAGAACCCTTTCAACCCGGTGTTTCACACGGAACGGATTGCTAAAATGCAAATCGATGTTGTCACGACGAAAGGGATGTATGTACATGGAATTTGCAAGACCAATTCTATCGTGAGAATAAGTAACTTCGAAGTCGTATAAACGTGTTTCCGTTTTAGAAGAGGCCCACTTACGTCTTAAATAGCATGATTGAGTTTTAAGTAAATTTACGAATCGATCGGCGTTAAGTTGTACCCTTTGAAATGCTCAAAAGGAAGATAGAGAATTTTGTATAAAAAATAAATCGATTTTTTTACGATATATTTAACACGAACGTGGACCAATTTTCGAAAAAAAAAAATCAAAAAAAATCAATGAAATAGAGAACAAAAGGAGAGAAAAAAAGAAGAGTTTTAAAATTATGCAAAAAACTTGGTCAAATTTATTTTTCCATAAAACGATGCGTTAAACGTGACTGGGATTTGTAAGTTGATAGGAAAAATGACTGTAGGAGCTTAACGTTACAACGATTATTTAGGACAATGGCCAATGGGGTATGCCGATCTTGCATAGACAGTCACGGTCATGCGCTAAATGCCCCTCACCGTACCGATCGATAACTAAATTGGGAATTGGAAATTTAAATGAATGGACAATGTTTTTTCTTCAAATCATTCGAAAAAATTTGGATGTTAACATTAAGAAGAGTATTTCTGCAATCTTTGTTATTTTTATTTTTTAATTAATTCTTTTTCTTTCTTTTTTTTCTATTTACAGGAGCTATTTTCACTCATGACCAAAAGGATAGCAGTACGGAATTGGCATTCAAGTACGCCGTGTACAAGATCAACAAGGACAAAATTATTTTGCCGAAAACAACGTTGGAGTACGACATTCAGTACGTGCCCAAAGATGATTCCTTTCACGCATCGAAGAAAGGTGAGTGAGATAAATTAATCTCAAATGAATCGTAATGATGTTATTATCGTGACGATTATTTCATCGATCTTCTTTTTCTTTTTATGTTTTTCACGTTAAAAACGATGACGTGCCGTTGTAATGACTAATTGGAACGATTCGTTCTAAGGAATACACGAAGAATTTTATTAAGCGAAAGAAATTTTTCTTAGCTAGAGAAAAGCGTCTCGTAATAGGATTTAATTTTCTCTCAAGGCAAAGAAAATTCGCACGTTATTTCGAAGAAAAGGGGAAAAAGAGGAATATTATTTGTACGTTCGTCTAACTTAAAGGTTGATAATTCTTTTATATATGCATCAAACGCAAATGAGATACAAGACACTTTCGTATTATAATTGTTTGTCTCAAATAGAATATTTTTATTTGTTGTTGTTTTTTTTTTTTCTTTTTTTATTATATCTCTCGGGGAAAATGTTTATTCATATTTTAATGAAAATACTTTTTACCAAACGAACAAATATCGAAATTTTATATATATTTTTTTTTAATTACTTTGTATAAAATAATATTTAACGTTTCAAATGCACGTAAGCAAGTATCCGCACAGTATCGTTTATTAAATTGATATCAACAGAAACTATCTTTTTCCCTAATCCAATATTTGTATGTCTATTTTAAAAACAGTATACTTATATTCTCTCGAAAGAGTTTTGTTATTATAGTATATTCAATTAACGCGAACAACTAAAGTTTTCGATGATACGCGAATACATGCATATATATATATACATTCGTGCAGATAGATTTATACTCGTTATCGTTTATTTATTTATGTTATAATTTGTACGAATTCTCATTTCAATTTCGTTGACTGGCACAACGGGTAGAGAAGCAACGAGTAGGATGGGCAACGAGAAAATAGTACATTTTTTATTTTCTTTTTCTATTTTTGTTTGTTTTTTTTTTTTTTTGTATTTTCATTCTCCAAAACAGCTCGTCCGCGTGAGAATTTTTGTGTTGAGAATTCAATAACAACCGGTAATCCTTTGGCAATGTAGGTAGGTTTGTTTCCATTTTGTATGCCGATTTACGATTACATGCAATCCTGCGATAGAGAGAATCAGATAAGTGAATTTAATATATTTTTTTTTTCTTTTCTATTTTTATCCACGAACGAATCGTCGAACGTTCGAAATCATTTTCGTTCAAAGTCTCTTGCCGCCGAGTTCTATCAAAGTGACTATACATACCATTTTGCTTGCCCTTTTCTCCTCGTATATAACCTTTTACCATTTTATCATCCCATTCCCCTCTTCTTCCTTTTCATTTCTCGTCCTTTATACGGAAATACTTTTGACACTAACGTCAGACATATCAGAGATCCATCCAATAGAATCAGTAACTTGTACGCACATTTATTTGAAATGAAACTTTAACGATATATATA